GGACATGGACAAACATGTAATTTTAAGAATGTTGGCCAGCGTAAATAAGAGGGCCTAGTGCGGATAAAATGTGATATTAAAACTTCAAAAGGGCCTTATTGAAGTGAAATTATCAATTCTGTACCAGCTGTTTTGTCGAAAGCTCTCCTTGGCAAGCCTTGGTTTGAAGAGCAACCAAACCATTGAAGAGTTCTTTGGGGTGCAAAAAATCTTGATTTTGAAACGGTCTTTCTGAGCACATTTTTCCAAGTGCAAAAACCCTCTTTGCGTCTAGTAAAATCAAAATTAATACCGTGATATAAGCGTTGACTTGCTACCCTCCAAGACAATCCCCATAGCCGAAGGGTTGCCAGTAGTTTAAGATCGCGTTGTATGAAGTTCATAACGTGGATAGTCAGCATTATTCGACTTCTATCTCCCCTTTTCTCTATTGTTTCACCACTGTCGGGTCCCCTGGGAGCAACTCGCAACCGGTGAATTACTGAAAACGACAATCCGTGATATAATAGCCTTATTGGATCGGATTGGCAAAATCGATAAGGGGTAAATGTACGATAATTTACCCAGATAAAAAGGCTAACGATCTTAGACGACCGCAATGGTCAGGTTTATCGTCCGATCGTAACTACGCGAGTTAAAAGTACATCGTCGTATGCCAACCAAACAAGCGATGTAGCAAAATTTAAAGAAAAACTTCTGCAGAGCATCAAAATGATTTGTAGATAAGTTCTATGTTGTTGAGGCGGATTCATTTTTTTACAAACTTCTTTTTGGGTATTTTGCCCTAAAAATGTTTGTCTTTAAAAAAGACAGAATTTCCTAACGTCTTTTATTGCAGATTGATAAATAGTGCTCCGATTTCGCATTAAGGACGAATTATTTCATCAAAAAGTAATCAAGAACTATCACCTAGAGGGTATCCTGCGACACACTTAGGCTCATCTGTAAGAGAAAATTCCAATTAGAAAAGAAATTAATTTGAAAAATTACCTTGACGTTTCGATAGCTATTTTCTGCTATCGTTATCAAAAGAACCT